GATTTTGCCTGTTAAGACTAATTTCATTTATAAATATATTTATAATTATTACTGCAATTAAATTTACTGAAATTAACAGTTTATTATCATTGATAGTATATGAATATACTGTATTAAAACTTTCGTGATAATTAATAAAAAAAATCTGAAAGCTCTTTATTCCACAAATATCATATATAGAAGTTATACTTTTGTTAACTTCATGTTCACTTTGAAATTATTGAGTTCCTTAATAAAAAATCCGTTAAAGTTTAACATGAAACAGGTAATGAAACATATTCGAAATTCAAGATTCGGGCTTCCAGGTGCCCATGTTCGAGTGGAGGGCACGTTATTCAGAATTTGATGGCTCTAGGTATCATTGTATTTTCACAACGCGAGAAACATACATACATTCACGGAGACACTTCATTATTTAATTTCTTTAAATATAATACAGGGAGAAAATATTCGGCAGCAAAAATTTGGAAAGTGATTCAGCCGTTTATAGTGATTCAATGCAAAACGCTGTTTCGAGAATAATACCATTCTGGGCTTTAAAATGAATAAATAAATAAATAAATAAAAATTGCAGATTTTAATGTAAATGGTTTTCTTCTAACAAATATATACATATATATATATGCACTGTGGGATAAAAAACGGGTACTTCAGGAATTTGAGCAAATTACTAGTAAAACTACGAGATATGTCCAAAAAATTTTCTAAATATAACGAAATGAATTAACTATTCGGATTTATAAAGTTCTATTAGAGGCTAATTATCTACCTTGTGTTAGTTTAGCAGCTCTTTAGCGACTATAAATATTGACTCCCCCTGATAGTGTATACAAATGACTGCATACGAGTATTCAAAAATATGGATAAAATATTTGGAAAGTGTATGTAACAAAATGTACGATAAATGCAAGAAAATTACTAAATAATATTTAAAAATTTTGATATTATGATACATTTCAAAACATTGTCCGGGAAAAAGCTCTACATTGCAACTCTTTCTTTTAAGGAACATTTTTTTCATATTACACGCTTTTTAACTTTTTCGTCAAAATATAAACAATACACCAATGCAGTGGCGTAGCGATGGGAGGGGCAAGGGGGTGTATGATGCCCCGGGCGCCGCTCGCAAAGGGGCGCCAAATGGTCTCCAAACAAGATTTTCCGGAAAATTTCAGTTTTTATTTTGATCGATTTGTGGAAAATATATTTAAAATTAATAATTATTGTAATATAATTAATTAATTATTTTCTTGATTTGTCTGATAAAATGTTTGCAGTACATCAACCAAGTATCTGCGCATATAAAACGTTCTTTCTGACCACTTTATTTCTCTAAAATAGAGATATATTTTTATTTTTTTAAAACGAAATGCACGTATAGCTCTCGTTTTTTATTTAAAATAATAACACGACATTGTCCCAAATTTCTCAAACATGTCCAGTTTCCAGAAACCGATTCCATAGTCTGGAAATGACATTTTGGGAAACTCCTAACGCTTCCGCTACTATGGATTGCGTTTGACTTTCGTGTAAACGAGTGATGTCCTTCCTGGCTACCGATTCAAATAAGTCATCTTGTTGAGACATCGTATATTCACTGCTACAAAGCATTCAACGCGTGTCAATTGTTTTAAATCTTCTATTACAAAAGGAGTGATGCAGGTCGCTCCTTACTCCTTATCTAAAACGCATAGTTTTGGACGTCACAGACTAAATTTGCATATTCTCAACTTTGCAAACGTTATAATTTTCCTTTGTAATCTCTTCTATTTCCTTTTGTTTCAAAGGTTGTTGATTATATGGTTATTTTATACCAACCACACAATATCCCCTAATTGTTTGAGCAGTGAATGTGACTGTAAGATGTTACTTCGCAGTAAAAAAGAAACGGAACCTAAAACTCCATCACAGATCTATAGAGAAAATGTTTTTCCAAACCTAAGAATTGTCGCACTTCAAATACTCCAATTGCTATTTCATTATCAAATGCTACCCGGTATGAGAGTTCGTTCAGCAGATTTAAATAAATTTTGACATATTTACAATCAACGATGGGACAAGATCCCCTAAGTCATCTAGCATTTTTAAGTGTGGAAAGAGAAAAAATTTGAAAGGGTCGACTTTGATGAAGTAATTGATAAATTTGCTTCATACAAGGCAAGAAAAATGTATACACAGTAATTAATAGCATTAATGTATTATAATATTATATTATTATTAATAAATGCATCTACTTATCTATAATATATATTAAACTTTTAATTGTACACTGACTACCAATAAGTAATTGGACACCTATGCAAATTACGATATCTGCGGTCCTAAGGTACGTCATGGACTCCGCCGGTATTGACAGTGGCCTATGTGATTAAGAAGTGGAAGGTGAGCGGTGATTGTCGGAATGTTCCCCGAGTCGGCAGACCAACGAAACTGGGAGATAGAGACCGACGAGTGCTGTCCAGAGAAATTCGGAAGAACCGCACCCAACCGATGGCCCTAATCCGCGAAAAGTTTCAACAGGCATCCGGGAGTATTGTTTCAATGAATACCATCCGTAAGGAAGCACATCTGCTTGGTTTTCATGGTCGTGCTGCTGCCCATAAGCCTTTGATCACAAAGTCCAACGGTGCTGCTCGGTTAATGTGGTGCAAAGCACATCGAAATTGGACCGTAGATCAGTGGAAACGGGTTCTTTGGAGTGACGAATCAAGGTTCACCCTTTACCTTTCGGATGGCAGAGTCTGGGTCTGGCGTCTACCTGGAGAACGTCTCCTTCCAGAATGCATTGTCCCCAACAGTCAAGTTCGGCGGAGGTGGAATTATGGTCTGGGGTGTTTCTCCTGGTATGGGCTGGGACCCTTGGTCCCCATTCATGGTAAGCTCAACTCCGATGCCTACTGCACTATTTTGGATGACAATGTGCTTCCTACGTTGTGGCTGTTTTACGGGTTGGACCCCTGTTACTTTCAGGACGACAATGCCAGTTGTCATGTTTCGACGTTAACCAAAGCTTGGTATGGTGCCAATGGAGTTCATCGAATGGACTGGCCTGCCCAGAGTCCAGACATGAACCTTATCGAGAACCTCTGGGACGAGTAGCATCGCCGAATTCAGGCGATGCTACTCGTCCCAGAAGCACTACCCGTGCAAATCGGTGAAGGAACTTCTATGTCTTCTCCAAGCCGAGTGGAAGAAAATACCACTAGCTGTCATACAAAGACTTGTGGAAAGTATGCCCCGGAGGGTCCACGCTGTAATTACCTCTCGTGGAGGCTCTACCAACTATTTATTTTGAATAAAGTTAGTTTTTCTTTTCTATCACAGGTGTCCAAATACTTATTGGTAGTCAGTGTATAAAAATTAGACATTTTTAAAAACAATTATAAAAATATGTGAAATAAATAATACTTTTCTAACTAATTCTAGATCATCGTATGTCTGATTTTTCTGCCGACACAGATACATTTCCGAATCCAATGCTAGTGCAGTTAGGTAGTGAGTATTCTTAATATATTTTAGAGTATTTTATGGCAGATTCAGCACTTTATTATTATTTGCATTATTTTCTTATTACGAATATATTCCATACATTATACTGTAAGTGTTTTTTTGTGGGGGGGGTCAAAAAGTTATTTTGTCCCGGGCGCCAGTTATGCTTGCTACGCCACTGCACCAATGCGCAATAAAACAGAGCCCTTTGCGCAGTTGATTACTTATTCTAATTCCTCTGACCCCCCCCCCCCGAAAAAAAAATATCGGATCTGAAAGAATATTTGAAGGCGAAAGCTCTATGGAATATTAGCCGAAAATATCAGATTGGAAGATGACTTCAACCGTCATCTAGTGTTGTTTAGAAACTGAAATAAAACATTCACCGTTGTGATCATGGGCCCAAGACTCGGAAATACTGATCACGTGTATGATAGCGTGGTCCGTGAAGGGAGACTCGCGTGGGTCCTGAACGGGTTAAGGAAGAGGGATTATAAAGATCATGGGAATTTTCAAGCCAGAACTTTAATCTTCAATTAGATCTTAAATGAACAAAATTTTAAATTGTTGAATATTCAAATCTAATAAAATTCGACTTCTTAACTTCAGTTAGCAAGGGAAAAAAAGTCTAAGAAAAAAAGTATACGTTGTATCCGCTTATACTAAATATCTTTACGAAATTCTAACTTGTTATTTATAGTAAGTAAATTATTTGAGATGTTATAATAGTAAACATATCTCTTAAAGCGTGACATTCGTAATTGAATTTTAAAATTAGAAAATAAAATCGCTTTGCATATAATATAATCAAATTCAAATTTAAACAAATTAAATTTAAATTTTAACAAACACGTATAAAAGTAAAAAAGCAAATTTAAAGCCAAAATTAAAAAAAAGCAAATTTAAAGAAAAAAAAAATTAAAATGTGTAAACATATAAAAGATTTAATTTTCGAACTAATCTACAATATCATTTAAATTCAGAAGCATAAGCAAATCAAGTGCAAAACCAATACATGAAAATAAATTCACTAATTTAGCAAATTAAAATTAATCCAAACAGAAACAATATAGTCAAATTCACATGTATTCGAATATAAATTTAATTAATTGCAATCAGTACAGCTTAGCGGCCAGAAAGAAGAAAACATGTAAAAATAACCCCAAAACATTTTCAAATATAGTTCAAGAAATGCTCAAACATTCATTTCTATAAAATTTTAAATATTGGTTTTTTATTTTGATACTAAACATTTAACATAAAAAAAATAAGTCAGAAGCAATTAAAATGAGAAGAAAACTTCTAGTGGAAATGTGAAGTAATATAAAAATAATTTATCTCGCATAAATATTTTTTTTCTAATTAAAACAGCTTCTAAAAGTCTGAAGAGCAACAACGCACTTAACACATACTACACTTACGAAAATACTATAGTACTCAATGTAGTAACTTACAAATTACTTTAATTAAACAGGTTATTACTTAACGCTCCTACTTTGTTCAAAACAAACCTAAGAGCCTTTCGCATTAAATCTTGTTTTGAAGGCCATCCAACCGTTTTATGCTCGCGGGTAGTAATTCCACATCGCCAGCCTCATTCTCGTTGGATTCCACACATTCTACACACCTGGGCAACCAATCGTTCCGTTCAGCATGCCGCGTTACTCCTGCGAAGGTATACTTCAATAATGTGGGAGTGGCAACCGCTTTCGGTCGATGAGAATTTCGATTTTTATAGAAGTTATACTTTTGTTAACTTTATGTTCCAGGAATAAAGTTTAAAAATCCGTTACCTTTTGAATTTTGTAAAAAAAGAAACGGCAATGATAACGTTTGCCGCAGGTGGCTTAACGGTTAATTATCAAGAGCCTTGTTTTGTCTGTTCGAAAACTTCATCTTGTTTATAGTTAAATTCGTATTTGAGTTCAAAGTTGGTAGTGAGAGTAGTTTGATCAGTGAATGTGATTCTGACGTCATCGATCCGTTATTCTGTACTGGGTGTGTCCTCGTAAACCGCGTGGTTTCAACAGGTTGTTTACAAACATGGAACTGTACTTGTTCTGCATATTAGCCGTTATGTAAGTTTATTTTCGATTATATTTATTTTATGTCACATGTACGTTATTAAAGCTGTTTATTTATTGATTAGTTTTAAATAATCTTCACTTCGATGCAATAATTTGTTTAAAATGATGAATGGAACTATCTGTTCTTTTCTTAAAACTGCGCATTGAATATATTTATATCTTTCAACTGAAAAATTTTGCAAGATGCAGTTTCGAAATAATATACTGGAGTAATGAATTTTGTACTTGCTACAAAGGAAGTTTCAAATTGGATTGTTAATTTTTCAAAATTTTCGTTTGCAAAATTACAATAACTTTGAAATGGAAAATTAAATTGGCGTAGTGCTGCTGTAGAATATGATTTTGAGAGGCGTGGTATATGAACATATTGAAATAAACATTATTCTTTCTTCCAGAGGAAATTACAGAAAATTGTAATTATGAAATTCTCTGTCCCTTTACTTGAAGAGTCATAATTACTTCATGACTTTAAATTATGCTAGGGTTTTAGTGACAGTTATTTCGCTGAATATTTACGATTATACAAAATTCAAACTTATTAAGCATAGAGAAATATTGCATGCATTTTGAAAGAAATCTGACGCAGTTTTCTTTTTTTCCCCCTGCAAGAAGCAAAAATTATTTTACTTGAAGTGTAGAATAATTGTATTTTTTGAAAGTATGTTTAATAATATTTACACTCTTTTAGAAGAGAGATGCAAATTAGATTCTTTACAAATGAGTAGGGGATTTCTCTAAAATAAATTTTCAGTTGGGCGTAATTTTTAAGTCGACGTAATTTTAACCTCTATTGTATCAAAATTTTATTAATAAAAGAATTTAGGCAATAAATTAAAATGCTTTTGCTCTAGTATGTTTTTAAATAACAACAAAAAGCACTGAAACAGTAGCTTAAGCCTTTTCTTAGCAAAAATTATTTGTATTGAATTATAAATTTTTAGTATTTGGCTGGATTTAATTTCGCTTAAAGAAATTTAAACTTCCTCATGAAACTTTTGTAGTTTACGAATGTTTTTGCAAAACATTTTGTTGTGAATTGGTTAATTTTTGTATTATAAAACATTGAACATTCATATGGAAATTTTATTTCTTAGCATAAATAAATGGTGATATAGGGTTTTATTTAATGTATGTGTGGGCGGCTGCGTTTATATTAAAAATGTTGCTTGTATAGTTAATGAAAAACTGGTGCATAATGTAAACGAAATATAAAGTAATAACCTATAAAATAAGAATCTTAATTTAGTAAAAGTTTACATTTGGGTGCCCCTTGTTTTTTGGCGATTCTTTTTTGACGCCAAGATCGGCGCCAGGAAGACAGAATTTCAAGATGGCCGCTACACAAAACCAAAATAAAAAGTCAAAGAATTGTATAAACTTTGTATCCATGTACACATCGATCAGTTTTCACTTAAAAAAACATCCCACAATTGCACAAACTAGGCATTGCGCACTGTTTAAATTTGTCCATGTACACATCAATCTATTTTTATCTTTAAAAAATCAGGAGGCTAAAACAAAGTTACACTATCATAGTAACCAGAAATAAGATTTCATCGCCAAAATTTTACAAAAAATTGTCGCTATCAAAGGGGCACCCAATTCTTTTTTGTTATTAATTCATTCTGTGCATTATTTTCAGTCAACAAAATTTTTAGCACATGATAAATAAGAGTTTGAAGGAATAACTGATTCAAAAAAGAAATTTATGCCAGTGTATTTCTGGTTTATTATTTAATTCCTACCAAATGAAAATATAGCATTTGCTATTGAGACATGTGTAAAGTTCTCTATCTAGAAGCTTGTGTCGATATCCTGCTGACACTACTAGACTGAAAGCAAGTTATTGCTTTAGAATGTGACAAATGACATATCTCTGCTTGTGTGACAGACGCACCTCCGCTACCTACGGGTATTTAAATTAACATAAGAGAACGTTAAATTAAATACAGGTAACATAATCTGAGACGGTCCACCAGCGGTGGAGTGGTAAAATCGCTGAACGCTTGTAGTTCCGCCTTGGGTTCAATGACAGCAAACGGGCTGGCCGTTTTCCCTATGTGTAACGCATATATGAATCAGTTTTGCTTAGAAAGTCCTCCACGATGGCATCCCTTCCCTTAGGCAGATACCTTAATAGATAGCGTAACAAATAGCTTTGGCATGATCAACTAAATCAACCAAACCATAATCTGAGACGATAACATAAAATAAATTACTGATCAAAGAGAGTGAATGGTGCGTAACTTGGCACAGCTGGCTGTACTATATAATAGTAAGATGAGACTGCTAGAAAATCTAATATAAATATTCAAATTCTCAGCTTAAAAACGCAAGCAAGTAATTTGTATTCCAGTAAAAGGAGAAGTTGTAGTAAAGGTAATGATTATAGTAAAAGTGATAGCCATGATAATTGGTTCATTAACATAAAACATAATTGCACATGATTTTAAATGAATGAAACATTCATATTATTCTCTAGTACATAATTACTAATAAACAGTCATCAGTTTATTCTGGCATGTATGTTTTAAAATTTAAGAAATAGTATTTTAGTTAAATGTTTAAAAACAACGAAGTTAGCAGCAATTTAATAATCGTTAAATAGTGGTACTGATTAAATACTTATATTCTGAAAGCGATTTAAATTGCTAAAAATATTTTAATAAATGCAAATGTAATGAGCATGTATAAATTCAAGATGATAATATAAGTCCTTCTTATATGGAAAGAAAATGAGAAAAAAATTTTTTGGCAGGAAATGAAAAATAAATAACAAAGAAATGGGTTGATTGCTTTTAAGTCATATAGTTTGGTAGTCAATAACAGGCAGAGAAAAAAAAAATAAATTAAAAAAAAAAAAAAAAATCTGGAAGTGTTCAGATTTTGACGATCGCCCAAAAGGATTTGTTAATATTTTTTATTCTTTCGCTGAGCTCGCAGTCTACCAATCTACTGTTGCACTCACTTCTGCTAGCTCATTTCTTTTTGTCTCTTTTAGCTTTACCATTAAGCATTATTTTTCTTCGCACTTACGCATTATGCAGTTCAACAGAAAAAATTACAAAATTTTAAAAGCAGCATAGTGCTTAGAATTTCCGATGCAGTGTCAAGTATTGGGATATATTTTTCTAGTCTTTTCTCAGGTAAGTATATCAGTGTTCAGTTTTCTGAGTAAGATGCCTTGCAAAACTTTTTACTTCCTTGTACGAAGTAAAAAGGAAGTATTGTAATCGCGAAAAGTTACAGGCAGCATATTTCAACGAAAATATCCATTTTGACCGCTATCGAATGCAATTTATGTTTTTGCGTGATATCTGTACGTAAGGGCAGAATAAAATACTCTTTTCCTTCAAAATAATAAAACTGCTTTAAAATTAATTCTGAAGAGAATTTTTCGTGGCGTCTGTACGAACGTATGTACGTACGTATCTCGCATAACTCAAAAACGAGTAGCCTCAGAACATTGAAATTTTGTATATAGGACTGCTATAACATGTAGATGTGCACCTCGTATTTTGGTTGCAATCGGCTGCACCAAACGTATATAAATATATTTATATATATATCCACTCTGTTACCCGGCTCAGTGATCTCAGTTTCTTTACTCTTATATGTTTGTAAATTGTACATTTTTTGCTTTAAAAATGTTTGAATTACGTTGTTTTTATCTTCCGGTTAAGGATTTTATGCCTTTAGTAAATCTGTATGCAATATTTTTAGAATTATCAGCAATTTTAAAGTTGTTTAATTGCCGCTAAGCCTGTTTTTAATGGCGGCCATTGATGTTCACATTTGAAACAGGAGACTAATGGATTTGTTGCCAATCTAGAGAAACAGCTTCGCAACAACAAAGATAACGCATTCATTTATTATTGCCAATTAAATCATGCTTAATTCTCTCTGGAATTTTTTCGAGGAAATAAGTGTTTGAGATTTACTTCGTAATTTTTAATATAGATATTTTGCGTTTTTATGTATTTTTGCCTTCTCGCGAAGTGAGAACTGAATTAATTAAATGAGAAATACTCAATCGTCTGTGAAAAACTGTTTCTTTTTTGTTTTGTTTGCTTAATTTCTTTTATACATCATTCTAGCTTTATTATAGTATTTGAATAGAACATGTGGCAACGATTAGGTAATTCTATTCTTTAAATGATATAAATTTTGTGCATTATGAGTTATAATATGACCGAAATATATACGTTAACTGTTATATAATTATTGGATTATATAACAGTTAACTTAGTTTCCGTTAGATAATTATTATATAAGTTAACTGTTATATAATTATTAATACTGTTAAGTGAATCTAGCGCCAGAGTGTCGCTATGGTAAACAAATACTAGAGTGAATTTTAAAGAATGCATTTATTCTATTGTGGTTTTTATTGTGCGAAGTAGATTTAATTCAGTCCAATAAGTTTAAATGAAATGCAAGAAAAAATGCGTATAATTTAATATTCCAATACAAGGAAGTCATGTGGTGTACACATCAGATTTTTTTGTCTTTATATTATTAACATTTATGTGT